GGTTTTAAACTGCTGACCTGGGTGGTAGCAGCCCAACACGTAATCACAACGTCACTAGGGCTCCTTCCAGAGCATCCTGGAGTTACCTAGAAATAGCGCACATGCTGTGGTCTTTAGGTAAATGTCCCGGTCCAAGGCTGAATCATAGAAAGAATACAAAGATCTCAAAAACCAACCTTTTATAAAATTTCTCCCCAGTCTCTTCCCAAGAGCCTAGGGCTGGCATCACCATGGTTTTCAGTAGAACGGGAAGCAATGTAGCTCCTCCTTCATCCAAGAGTTCTCAACAAAAAGACTTTTGTCAAGACTTCCCACCCCACCACTAAGTATATGAAGGTGTAAGTTGCTCAGATTTTAAGCAGCTTTGGGACTGGCTCCCCCCTCCAACACACAGGTGAGTAGAGTGGAATCCTAAAGCAAAGGACAGAACTGGAGAGAGATCAGGAGACAGGTAGCCTGCATTTATAGTTATGTGTCACTATGTGATTTAACAATTTTAGCAGATACAGCACGCCATTGAGTGATTTTAGAATATTTTTGTATAGAACCTATTTGTGTTTATCCTCGTGGTTGTTGACCCGAGATAAGCTTATGTTGAACAACACAACACATCACTCAATCCTGTGTCGTCTTCCTGATCATTGTTTGAATCCATTGGGGCTACCCTGTGATTGCAGGGTCCTTAATGGAGGAGGCTCCCTATTGGCTGCCCAATGGGACACTGAACATGGTCGCCCCTCTGTAGTCTAGTTTGCCATCTGTAAAATGAACATTAACACCTACATCGAATGGCTCCTGAGGGAGCGAAAGATAATGTCATCTATGAATGTACCTGGTACATCACAGGTGGGTGAATGAAATTATTACAGTTACTATTGTATCAGGACCGACCCGTCCTTGGGACGTCATGCTTGGTAAAAGTGAAGGGGCAACAAAAAAGAGGAAGACCCTCAACAAGACGGATGGACACAATGGTTGCGACCATGGGCACAGACATAAGAGTACTGTGAGGAAGGTGCCAGGACTGGGTGGTGTTTCATTCTGTTGTACATTGGATCACCACGAGTCGGAACATTGTACATCGGCTCGCCATGAATCAGAATGGCCTCAACAATGCTTTAAACAATAAAAGCAACATTATTCGATGGAGGAGCCCTTGGGGTGAAATGCTTAAGCGGTCTGCTCCTAACCAAAAGATCAGTGATTATTCAAACTTACCCAGTGGCTCCACCAGAGAGAAGAGCTTCCGATCCTGAGAAAGATTGACAGCCCAGGCGACTCTCTGGGGCAGTCTGTGGAATAGTCAATCTTCTTCACGAGCATCCTAATTCACAGACATCCAGTCTTCATCGATTTTCTTTCTCTTTTCCTTGGTCAGCTTTCCCATCTAGAGGAAGAGCTCGAACAGAGACAGCTTGGGTTGGGCGCCCCTCAGTCAGTACAATCAGAATGGCCCCGAGATGAGGGGCCAGCGAAGCTGTGTGTCGTTTGCTTTGCACACGGTGTCGGGAAAGAGAAAGACGGGAAGAAGCAGGCCGTGGTGGGTGGCGCTGAGGACGAGCCACAACAGCGAAAAGAATAAATGACACAGTGGCTGCAACAATGGGCTCCCACCAGACTTACTTGTGGGAGGATGAGCCAGGACTGGACAGAGACTCCATCTGGTAAACACAAGGTCACAGTGTGTTCGAACCAACTCAACAGAGCCTAAACACAATGACAAGAACCCGGAGGGAGGAAGGCGGGCAGTTCCGCTCTGTCTTATGGGGTAGCTATGAATTCGGGTTGACCTCAACATCGGTACGTGGTTACTGTACAGTATTTATGATTTGCTGTCATTTCCACTCGTGGTTAGGCAATGTAAGGCCAACACACTCTTTAGGTGCGTCCAGAACTGTTATCCGATCCCTCCTCCCACTTCCCTCCTCCACGATGCACTCAGACTTCAGAAAACTGAAGGGAAAAAAGATGGGGAGTGTTGAGGATTCTTGGCGTAGAGGTCAAGCCTCCAGATTCACCCCCCCTCCCCTTTTCCTGACGAAGTAAGAGCTTCCTAAGAATCAGCGGACTTCTCTCCTCTCTCTCTACCCAGCCCACGTCTGCATTCTCTCGGTTTCCCAGGGACCTGCAGGTGACTCCTCTCCCTGATTCTCCTCTACAGGGGCAGCCGACGTTCGTAGCTTCCTCTCAAGACCCTGAGGACAGACTTGAATGCACAAGATGGTAATGGGGGAAGCAATGGCGCGGGCGGGGGTGGGGGTGGGGAGGTGGGGGGAGTGTTCCAGATCTGATAGGGAAGACAGGCTGGAAGAGGGCCAAGTTCTAGCTGAAGGAGACCGCCCAAGGAGAGGATTCCCAATGGGCCAGGGTTCTACTCTCAGGTGGGAAGAGGGAGGGCAGGAAGTCTGGAGACAGCCTCTCCCTCCACATGGTGTGCTCCAGTAGGGATGGCTGGCCGTTGGCCCCTTCCTCAACCTGCCTATCAGAGCTGCCCCCTTGGACGCAGAACAGGGGTGGGCATGGGGGTGGAGGGTGGGGCAGGGAGAGGGCGGCCCACACAGAACTCTGCCTTTTGGTCCCAAACATGTCTTCCCCAACACAGTTCGCTCTTGCAGCTCCTCCGCTTGCTCAACCAGAGTTCATGGAAAGGCTGGAGACGCTGAAGTGCTGGTACATCTTACACTGCCGGCCAATGCAACCTGGAAACATCTACACAGGCCCAGCCAGCGGAGCTCCCGAAACACCCAACTAATCTGTCATCTGCAGACTCCTCGGCGTGGAAAAGACACTTCCTGAGATACACGTCACCATGCAACGTGACGTGAGAACGCAGACTCCATGCTGCATCTGATGGGATCCTTGGGATGAAAGTGGGCAGGGTCCACTCCTCGGAGGGATGGACGGATGGATGGGTTGAACGGAGCGATCCCAACAGGCTATTGTGTGTGTTTCCACGATTTACTGGGGAAGACACAGTGAGGCCTAACAGAGCTCTGATTTTCACTCCCCACTTTTCTAGGCTTTATGTTCAGAAAGCGTTCCGTTCCCCTCGTGTGCAGCCGTTAGCAAACTGTTTTCAGAATCCGGAAAGCAAAGCAAAGAAGTTGCAAACTGCTTGATGCTTGTTCACCGTCTGCCACCACCAGATGCTGGGACCCCGAGGCGGGGACCCCAGGTGCTTCACGGTAGACCGAGCCCCACCGAGTTCTCAAGGCTTGGATTGTTTGGGGGAGCAGATTGCCTGGTCTTTTCTTCCAAGGCTCCTCTGGGTGGGTTTTACCATTTGGTTAGTAGTCTAGAATTCAAATGCTTGATGGATCCAGGTAAAATAAAAATGGCTTCACAGTTTCCACATCTTGTCCATTTAACACGCTGTTTCCAGTCCATCCACTGTGAAGATTTTATTTGTTTTTTATGTTGATATCTATCATCCATACCAAAGGGCAATTCTTTCATTCTTAGTATGTCTTAGTATGGAAGCTCACCTTCAGTTTTTGCTTTCTTTATATTGGGGTCTAGGATCTGAAGGCCTGAAGGTCAAGCCTTTCTGACTAGGCTCAGTCTGGAAGTTCAGCTTAGAATCTGCTCACCATGTGTGATCCTGCTGGTATTTGATGCAGCATTGGCATAGCTTCTTGAAACCCAGCAACAGGAAAATGACCACAGTACCACAAACCAACCAGCAGGGGTTGTTGCAGATTACAATACACAGTGAGCACAAATACACATGCATCGCCATTACAAAAAAATGTTCTGAAAACTTCTCTGTAAAAAACAAAAAAATCTTCCTGCTGTCCAAATCCACTTGTTTTGACTCTGTTTCTGTTTTCTTCAGCATTTCAGCTCTCATGGTTGGGAATTAACTACTCAGATGCCAAAGTCTCTGGTTCCTTGTGTGAGGTTTCTCCAGTGGGTCACACCTTGGTTCTTGGCTTTGAACGAGAAAGAATTCACACCGAAGCCTGGTTTGTCATCCAAGTGGGTTTTTGACGAAGGATGGGAGACGGATTCAGGTTTTACAGTCTGAAAAGAGGACTCGCTGTTTCAGGGAAGTGTACCAAGGCATGCGCAAGCTGCACTGGGGCCCACACCTGAACAGGGGTGACCTCGTGGGACTGCGCACCCACATGGGGTGACCTGAGACCAGAGAGCATGCGTGTCACAGGCTGAGCAGGTGCAGGAGCAGAGTCAAGGGAGAGAAGACGTGCCAGCCCACCGCCGGGGTATTTGAAACCTCTGGTCGGGGAGGCATGGTTGAAGGGATCAATTGACCCTGTTGGCTGAATTAAGTCCACCTGGACCTAGTTTGGGCTGCCCAGGTGTAACGCCCACCTGGCTGGGGGTGGGGGTGGGGGACGGGGGTAGGGGGAGACTGAATTGGAGCCTGCCCAGTTAAGGTCTTCATGGTTGACTAATGGTCACCTGATTTCCTTCCCAACCTCCTGTAGGGGACCTCTGTGGCCATGGGCGGAGCAACTCCCCTGTCCCTATCTATTAGCTACCTAACACTTGGGGTGTTAATTCCACTCAATGTCTTGAGATCGCAAAGCAGGGAAGTTCAAGGTGGGCTGACCTGAACCTCCTGCAGCCTTCACATTCTCTCTCGAGGGGGGTGTGTGTACAGGGTGTTGTGTGTGTCTCTGTGTTCTCTCACCTGTGGGGGACCAGCCTCCCCACAACCAAATGGGTCCAAGGGGGGCAGTTGTGTAATTGAGGAGTAAATTAAAGAGACATCAGACAAGATAAAGCAGAGGTAACCTTAGCGGGCTTAAGGTTACCTCTTACAAGCACATGGCTGACTGCTATTCGGGCCTGCAGCTTTAACTACAGGAGCAGACTTGTGCTATTGCTATCTAGGCTCTGAAGACAGCCACTCCCCCTTAGCTGCCCCCAGCACTGGTGTTAGGTCACTCCTCCAATGTCCTCAGGGACCTTTGGGGTTAGGGTACAGCCCACTTTGTTACGTACGTGTTTACCTTTAATTAGGGGGGCTTGCCCGCCCCCCTAGAGTATATATAAGCTTTTGCTGGAAGTATATTCTCTCTCTTTTTGCATCGACCTGGCTCTTGAGATCATGGCAGTCTCAGAGGTGAGCCCTTGCATGCCTTATCTTGTC